CCTCTTGCCCCATGGGTCCGGAGACCTGAAGGGACCTCGGGAGTTCTGTGTCCCACATCCTGGCTCCTGGAGATCCCAAAGACAACTATAGGGAAACGGCCCAGGTGCTTGGGCAAAACGGAAGACGTCTCATGGTCCTGGGGAAACCGGAGAGCAGCCACCAGCCAGGCACCCGGAAATCCTGGCCCAGTGCCACTCCTGACCACAAGCCTGCAGCCGCACCCAGTCCTAGGCCTGCACAGGGCCAGGGGCAGCAGGACCCGGATGGAGGACCAGTGAGGAGCCGCTGGTCAGGGGAGCACGCTGCCACCGCCCACCTGCAAGGCTAAGGGTCCACACCAACCTGGACATCACAGCCCATGCCTATGTCCAGCTCAGGATTTAATCGCTGCCCCGTGGTTCCCAAAGATGCCCAGGGCTAGGTGAAGACAAGATGCCGTCATCACTGTGAACTCCTACGCACTGCGCACTTGGGAGTGGCGGTGTGACGTCACTGGCATCAGGAAAGACAAACATGAACCAGTCACCAGTGATTTTCCAGTGCACAGGGACTCTCAGTGACACTGAGTCCCAACAACCCACACACAGACTTGGGGACCTCCCTTCTGGCCCATTATTTTGTCACACTGAGCTTCAATATGGAATTTCCTTTGGGAAAAACAAAAAGGAATATCGTGGCCTAAATCAGGCTAAAAACCACAGAATCATTCGATACTTGGAGTTCTTGCTTATTTTTAAATTCTTTTACGTTATCCTTTAGCCTATAAAGAATTCACATTATATTGTTAAAATATAAATCTTCTCACAGAATATTGCAGTCCTGGTTCTGGTCCCAAAAACAGTGCCTCTTTGAGTTTATATTCACTACGTGGAAGAAAAGAGGGAGTTAAAGTTGACATTTTCTTAAAAAAATAGGTTCAGCAGGTGCAGGGTTAGACTTGCATGTTGCACATGACAGCAGTGCAGCCATGTACTTAAGAGAAGCCTAAGTTTTTAAGCAAAGCCATCAGTCTAGAGACCATAAATACTAGCTATGTATACAAGTGAAAAATGCTGATATTATCACATGGCAAGTTTAAAAATTTTTCCCTCACTACCTAGACAGAAGCCTAGAAGGAGCTGGATCACAATAGCAAGAGGAGGCCAGGTGTGGTGGTGCACACCTGTACTCCCAGCACTTGGGAGGCTGAGGCAGGAGAATCACCATGAGTTCAAGTCCAGACTGAACTACATAGCAAGATCCTATCTCAAAAAAAAAAAAAAAAAACAGGCAAGAAGTTATCTTTGAGGGAGAGACTTTGGACAACTTTAGCTACTGTGCTTTTCTTTTTGTGTGTCTAGCATTTCCATTTCCTCCAGTGTGTATGTGCTATACACAAGGAACCTGAGCTGGGAGGAGGTGGAACTCAGCGGTACAGCACTTGCCTGGCAGACCGAGGCCCTGGGCTCCGGCCCCCATGTGCCCGAAGCAGGTCTGCCCCAGAGGCAGGAGGGCGTGCGGGTGCTTCTCCCAACCCACACCGCCCACCGGCTGGACCGCCCCAGCCTGGCCTGTGGTCTGAGCTGCCTGAGGATCAGAGAGCCAGGTGCGGACAAGGGCTCGGCCAGTGCCTGGGGGTGTGACTTCGAACCTGTCTGCCCGCCTTGTCCCAGGTCGCCGGTCTGTAACAGGAGTCACACCAGTGGGGCCAGCACTCAGAGCACAAGAAGTGGAAGCCACCATCAGGCCACGTGGTACCAGCCCTCAAGCGCAGCCCAAGCCAGGGGGCCAGTCCCAAAACAACCAGAAGAGGCTCCAGAGCAAAGCCTTTGCTTTCCCTTCCTCTCTGCGGAAGGCAGGACCACAGCACAGCCCAGGGGACCCATGGGAGGACGAGGGCAGCCCAGGAAAACGCGTGCCGTGTCCCAGGGCCACACGCCTCGGGCTGGAATCCTGCTTGCCGAGGGACAGGAGTGCAGTCTCTCATTGCTGCCACACCTGCCAGCCCGGCCTTCGCCAGGGAGCGGGGTGACTAAGTGTGAGCGAGTGCTTGGCAGAGGACACCAGCCAGAAGGCCTCAGGCAGGAAGCTCCAAAAGGGCCACCTGCAGACACAGTTTGTGCCCAGAGCCTGAGGGCGGGGGCCGAAGGCAGTGCTCCGGCGGGAACAAACTTGGGTAGCAGCAGTGACATTCCCAGTGTCCAGGGCACTCCCACGCCTGGCTTTGTAACTAAGAGAAAAAAACTGGGAGGAGCCAGGCGGAAGATGTGACCACACACTTAAATCGCAGGGACACCCCAACCAAAGGACATGGGGATGCCCCAGAAAGTTCAACATCCAGCCCAACTGCAAAAGGTTTCATGACTACTGCAAGCCAAAATGTGCTAAGATAAAATCTTCTTTCTCAAACTTGCAATTATATCACATATCCAAAGATGTAAATAAACCTCTTACTGTCCATCTCCGAGGAAATAATTATGTTATTGGGCTAATTACACATCTGAGTGTGCGCTGGGTCGGAAGGGGAAGCAGCTCCTCCCTGCTGGCCTGGAATCCACCCACCTGCGGCAGCTGGTGCTGGGTGACCCGCAGTCCCAGCAAACTGGGGTGCCAGGCGCCCTGATGCTGCAAGAGAGGTGGTGTGTCCTGAACCAGGAGACACAGGGACACCGTCACAAATGCAGAAGTGCTAAATGCCAGGCTTGTCGTGGCAAGCGCTCCTAGTTCCTTCTCGTAGTTCAAAAAAAAAAAAAAAGTAAAAGCCACGGAGGCCTCTGTCCTTTCCCCTTCCTCTAACTTTCCCAGCACAGTTAGAAGAAGCGCGGTCCCCTCTCGCATGACTGACAGGTCACCGCAGGATCAGCTGCCACCACCCCTCAACAAGCTCTGCCCCCCGCTTTAGCAGCACCGAGAATGTCACTGGCTGTCACCTTTTCAGCCACACTCAAACACAAACCAAGACAACCTGCAATTCAGGTTATCAGCAGCAAGCACGGGGCCTCCAACTGAAACTCCAAGCACCCCGGCAAAAGCCAAGATTGAGCCGGGCGTGGTGGCGCACACCTGTCATCCCGGCACAGAGGAGGCTGAGGCAGGAGGAACACCCTGAGTGTGTGGCCAGTCTGGGCTATGTAGTGAGACACTGTCCCAAAAATCAACACCCCTCAAGAAGTTAGGATTCAACTCATGAATCAGGGGCATTTAGCAGGTAAGGGAGGGATGAAGAAGAGGGCAGGCTCTCCCCTACAGCTGCTGGGGCAGGAATTCCAACCGGGCAGCCGGACCCTCTGCGGCGGGGCCAGCTCTTTAGAAGGAGCTAAGAGCGAGTGGGTATGGTGAAGACCAACTTCGAGGAAGTGAGATTCAGACAGGAGCAAGACTGTGCAAGGCAGGAGCCACATGCTTCCGGGCCCAGAGAAACGCAGAGGCCGCTGCGCCTCACAGCACACCCGCTCCGCCTGGGCCCCACAGCTGGCCAGGCCAGGCGCTCTCCGCTCAGGGGCCCTGGGCTCTTCTGTCCGGGGAGCCGGGACCCCAGGAGCGCTGCACCCTCTTTCCTTCTCACCACAGCAACAGTGTCTTGCTGGGGAAGGCAGAGGCGTTCAGAACACCCAGAAGCAGCCGTCTGGGGTGAGCCCTGAGCAACAGCAGTCGGGTCTTGGACAGGGCGCCTTCTGAAGCCCTTCCCACACATCCAGGAGGAGAGGAGGTCGGAGGGCTCTGGCAGGAAGGGCAGAGGCCGCAGGGGGACAGGAGTGAGAGGTCCCCCAGGAAGACCCCTTCCCTCCCCGGGGCGGTTTCCTTTAGCACCCGCCTGCCCGGATTCAGGCTCCCTCAGCTCGAGGCTCCTTCCTGCGCGATGGTGACACCCTTCACAACCATTTTCTGAACGTTGCAGATTTAGGAAGTGACAGCCGAGGGCATGGTGTGTCACTGGCCACGACGACGGCCAGGGCGCCCCGGGACTGTAGGGTCTGAAAGAAGCAAGCGCCAGCGCTGGCGACCTGCGGGGCAGAAAAGGCGCTGGGACCCTGCGGGCAGCCCTCAGCTCTCAAAGGTCCGCGCTCTGGGGACAGCAGGTCCGCGGCCGCCTCGCTGCTGCTGGTTCCTCGGCAGCAGCGTTTTACCCAGCGGTTCTCGGGCTCCAAACACAAAGCCTGTCCGTGCTGGGTCCGCAGAGCAAGCGTCGGCCTCAGGCAGGGTCCTCCCCGCCGCACCGACGGCCCGGGGCAAGGCACGCCGCCCCCGCCGGGGCGCTGACACCGGCCGTCGGCGCCTCCGGGCCGACCCTGCTGTCGGACCCCGCGCGGGCTCGTGTCGCTGCGCACGGAGCCTGCTGCAGCTCACCAACTTGGTGTCGCGTCCCAGGAGCCGCGGTCCCGGGCAAAGGAGTCCGGACCCGGGCGAGGACAGCGAAGGGGCGGGGAGCGGCGGCACCGGGAGGGATCGGCCGGGCCTGCGCCCCCGGGGAGTCGGGGTGTCGGACGGGGTCCGGCCCCCAGGCGAGGGCGGGCG